TAGACGGAACACGTCCAACGTTACATCCGACGAAGACTCGGAGACGGAGGACAACGAAGGCGGCGCATCAGCGTGACCGGGGACTAGGAAGTCCCGAACTCATCATAAGGTTATAAGGTCATAAGGTCACACACACACAAACACACACACAAGCACAAACACACACACACAAGCACAATCATACACACAAACACACACACATACACACAAACACACACACACACCCACACACACACCCACACACACACCCACACTTCCTCATCCACGTGTGTGGATGAGGAATCCACCCCCATCCACCCCGCGTCCCCCTCATTCGGCTGTGCGCACTCACGCCGAGCAGTGTCATGTCCCTGTTTATGACAGTGACTTTAAGGTGTTAGCTTCCACCTCCGGTACTTCAGATTTGCATATTTTAGAATCCTTGTACATTTTTAAACTTAGGCCCAGTTTAAATTCTGCTGTTAGCTCCTATCCCCTTGAAATTGTAAATAGATAGTTTTTTGTGCTTTGCCCATTATTTGTAAATTTAGGTTATTAATTTCGTTCTGTGCTTTTAGTGTATTAATTTGTGACTTCTAATTTGTGATTCTAGATTCTACGAACTGACGATGGAGCTTGACTCTGAAACGTTTTCTATAAGATATTAATTTTTGTGGACTAATCTTTGCTTTTAATTTTTTTCTAATTTCTTTAATTGTAAATAAATGTTACAGCTCAATACTTCACTTTCTATTGCTTTGCAACACCTCCTTTGCTCAAAGATGCTGTTGCCTGATCGTAATTTCTATTAGACCTTTACTTTGTCGTAAACTGCATAAAAATTCGTCTCCACCGATTGAAGGCATTGCGCGGCCATAATAAGGCTACCACCATTTCACCGCGCTCCATCTACAAATTTTGGAGAGTAATTAGATAATAGCTAAAATTTTGAGGCCATGTAATTTATGCTTCTACTGGACACAACTTTTACAGGTAGATATAACGAGGAGACCCAAATTTTTGGATTGATTGTAAAATTTTTTCAGCCTGACTGAACTGACTGAAAAAAGATAAACGTAGTGTATGTGGCACTGTGAAGTAATTTATCGCACATCGAGGGGTAACAATAAGCAGACGATATACTAATTTTATTACCTGAACCGGTTCAATATAAGTTTCAACATCTTGGCAGCTATTCTGGGTCGAATTAAATTTTAACTTCTGTAACATTCACAGGCATAAGTTTTACTTTCTACTCCAATTCAAGGCATTATGCGTTGCCGAGGATCCAGTCGACGAAGTATGACACTTCGGTGTACACTCCAGGGTATCCAGGCACACCGCAACCTGATCCCCAGGAAACAATTCCACAGAGATAATCTCCGCACGTCATGGGACCTCCAGAGTCACCCTGACAGGAGTCCTTGCCTTTTTCCCCAGCACAGATCATTGAGTCGAAAATATCAGAAACACCATAGCTATCCCTGCAATCATTATCGGTGACGATGGGCACGCTTACGTACTGCAGGATATCAGGCACTTGGCCTCCTGAGCTCAAAGTTCCCCATCCGGACACGAAAGCATTTCCTGTGAAGATTTGACCCTGAGCAGGAAGTGTCACTCCTGACACATACTGGTCAAAGGTAAGAGCAATGCTAACTTTCAACAACGCGATATCGTTTTCATAGGTAGAGTAGTCCCAGCCTTCGTGCAGGATGATTCGAGTTACGTCTCTCGCCTGTTCGGTTCCGTCGTCGGTAGCAAGGTTGTAATCACCAGCAACGATCTGTAACCATTTTGAAAGGTTATATCATTCTGCGAAAAAAGGTCAATTGAATACTTAGATTGAATGTTATATGCCTGCAGAATGTCTGAATTCTTATACTTATTCGAATCTTTGCATCAATCATGGTGGTAATATTCGGGATTAATTTTATTTTATAAGTGCCAATATCAAGCGATGAACTTAACCTGTAGAGAATGACGCTCAGGTGAGGAAATCATTCCCTGCGAATGAAACTGCTTTTCCTAAGTCCCGAATAATCCTTTTCCAAAACTGAGGATGTGCCTGACGGTTTAGTCGGAGAACTTCACGACTCTTCACGGCACTAGTTACTATATGAGCAACAAACTTGGAAACCAAGTGAGCATTTATAACGCACTAGAAACGAGTTGTGATCCCTTTGAATAATATAAATGTCTATAGGCTGCCCGAACCGTACTAGCCCATGGGTTAAAACTTGGAGGAAATGTAGATGGACGAAGTAACTATATTCCAGTACCCAAATTTCACTTCTGCGCCAAATCCTAATCGGTAATCTGTGTTTTTTTATACAATAAATGAATGCTGCATGCTGTCTTTCATCAGATTATAGGTTCTCCTAAGAAATTCTTGGATCGAATCCATCATCTGCTCCTTACCTGTTGAAATAATTAACTTTCATTTAGAAAACAATGTCTGTTGTTCGTTAAATGATGTTTCGAACTTACTGGTGGATACTGAAAGACTATTCAGAACTGTTGAGCCGGGCAAATCGGCATCAATTCTAATGTCCCACAAGGTTGAACACCTCTAAATTCATGACCTCTAGAATCATTTCTAACCAACTAATTGAAAGACAGATAAATAAGTTCATATAGTGAGTTTTACCTATTCATACATTGTTATTTTCCTACGATTATTTCTCTTACAACAGATTCCCCAGATAGAAAGAATAGATATGACTTTCTGTACAATGCTAAAGATTATTTGATAAAACTTTTGAAGCGAACGCTAGAATTGTCTAATACTGACCCTCAAATTTTGAGGATTGTCGTAGTTTTCTCCGTCGACACAGTGTCCTGCGGTGATCATGGTATCAGGAGTGTAGACAGAAGCCCCGCAGAAGTGGAAGTTGTTGCCGAAGGAAGTGTCCTGGAAGCTCAGCTGGAAAGGGAACTGCCCAGGACGAGCATCTGTGCCGCCAACTATCCTGTTGTGGCCTCTCCTGAACCGCGGAATAGTTGATGGAGCCGCTGGAAAAATTCAATATTTGTTGATGACAACTATGGACCGCTTATGAGGAAGATGTTAGCAAAATATTCTTAGCGTGTTTACGTGTTATTATTCATTCATGCAATACTGCTCTTTAATTTTCAGATAGCAAATGCCGCATTCAATAGAACCCTTTTACATCACAGCAAAGAGTGCAATACAGTGTAAGAGATTTTTTCATCGCATGATATGGATTTTTTTTGGTTCGATTCCGAAAAAACTAATTCAAGCAAATTCCTCACGACATAACTTTGAAATTTCTCACTTCGAACCGCATGTCTCCATTACTCTTGCTGTTGTTAACATGATCAAGCGCTGAAATATTTTTTGAGATGGGAAATAGTGCACTATGACATAAAATTAAGTGGTTTTCGTCAAAATTTGGTACGCCCTTTCATGTAAAGGGCGAATCAATGGGACCATGAAAGGCATTTTTGAAGGGTCAAATAATGCTTTCTATTTACTCAATTCTTCACTCACCGAGGGCCGAGGCCACCAAGAGACACAGGCTGAGCAGCTTCATGATGACCGTTCCCTGCACCAGACAAAACGTACAGCGCGGCGTGCAAGCGCTGCAGCTTTTATCCGAGATCTATGGGAATTTCAGCCACCTGCAAGGAGCACTTTAGTCTTTTATCAAGGACATTATTCTCGAAAAATTTTTGCTACATCATCTAGTAATCGATTTTTCAAGTCATTTATCGTCTGACCGCGATGAGCATCCATATTCGTTGTCACTGGTGTGATTCCTCAAATATATATGATTTTGGTCATACATATGAGCAATAATTGTGATGTATATCATATAAGTAATGATAGTGAAGTTATCATAAAAGTAATAATCGTGAAGTATATCACTATTATTACTCATAGTGATATAGTGATAATAGTGATATCGCGTGTCTAATCATAATCATTAATCAGTTCTTCAGCAGTGTGTTCACAGATGAGGACTTGAATAGTATTCCAGATATTGAGGAGCGCCCAGTCGGCTCGAAGTTAACATTTTTTGAAATACACGAAGAAGAGGTTCTCAAGCGCCTGGTAGCTCAAAATCCCAACAAGTCATGTGGACCAGACGGCTTCCATCCCAGATTGCTCATGACAGGCCACATCAGGCCTACATTTCAACGCCGACATCATTATGTTATGTTATGTTATGATAAGAAGATGTACACTTGAAAGTTCTAATTAATGCCCGCAGTTTCCCTCGAAATGTATGATAACGCTGAGTTAGGGAACCTTTGAAGGCTCCCTATGGAATTTTAGTTATGAGAAGATCAGAGAACAGAATTACCGTCATGTAATTTTAAGAAAATTTCCAACTACTCGTAGTTTTAGCATTTTTTGTATTGCACCAAAGCTTAGTTTCTTGTGCTATTGTTTTAAATGGAGTGCTGAAATTATAATTTAATTTGCCTGGGTAAATCAGATTGAAAGGTTCCACACCATGCGTTATTTTGCCTTCATCGCTGGCTACCAAGTGACACAAGATGAGCAGCTTAATGTTTTCCCAGCAATTGACAACGCGTACATAGCGCTGCGTGCATGTGCTATTAGAAATTGTAAATTAAATTGTTAAAGTTTTTATGAAAATTCAAATGTTAAAATTAGACTTTAAATTTTCCACCTAACGTAAAGTAAAAAAATTTCCATCACTTTTCGCTCTATCTTTAATTTAGTGACAGCTATAGGGCAGGGACAGCCGCCGGTTTTGCCAGCGTGTCCTACCTTAATTTCCCCTTTACAACTTATTCATCAATCTTATATTCATTTGCATGTCTTTCACTTCATGATTGGCCCAGTTTATTAAAATTTACATCTCACGTTTCTTTTCCGCAACAATAACCTACTAATTCAAATTAACATCATGCTTTAATTAACTATTAAAACTCTCACCGGGCTAATCTTTCTTTACTAACCTTTCCGCATTACTTGGCTTCAGCCTATTAAGTGCATTTTTAATTAAAAAAATTTTATTGAATTTTTATTAATTCCAATTATATCACAGTGTTACTATGTTAGGGATTGGATAGGTTGTATTTTTGTCATTTTGTATTAGAGTTTGACGTGACCTTGGCCCAATTACGGAAGCTAGTTTAGGCTTGTGGTTGCCGTCGATGTGTAAGGTACGTCTCGTTTAAATAGGAACAGTGGAAACGGTGAATGTTAGGTTTACTATCGTTTGTCATGCGTGCAATTTGTGTAAATATTTGAATCATTTTTAAAGGTTACATTTCGTGCGTCTAATTGCTATCAATATTTATGTTCATGTGTATTCTTTGTTAGATATTTATTCTTATTTGTTTATTTATTTTCAGGTGTCTCAATAACAGTTCCGTTTCAAGTCACTAGTTCAGTAATAGTCAAAATTACATCTCAGTGTTCATACTTCTCATTAAAGCTTTTTAAGAAAACTTTGTTCTCACTGTGGCTAATGGATGGACCTATAGTCCTATACGATCACTTGGTTGAATAATGCCGGAGCGAAGATGGCTTTATTCTTCCTTTTGTTGGAATGCGTCCCTAGCAACAGGTAATTCGCATTTTAATTAATTGTATTTCCTTGTCGGCAGCTATTCAAACCGTATTATTTTATCTGCCTGAGAACAAACTGGGGTGACGGGCATATCTTGCGTGCGGCCTTCACTTATACGATGATGATGCTGCTGTTGCTTCCCATTCTTTATTGAAAAGATTTAAGACGAAACCACACCACACCATCACATAGTATCAGGGAGTAAATCTCAGACGTCAAAGTTTGATCTGTAATTTTCTTCATTTAAATAAAAGTTGGAAAATTTTCCTGGGTGACACTTGTTTTCATAATCATTACCAAAAGTGCTGCGCTGTAGCTTTTATCGGAAAGCGATGGGAGTTTTGACCACATGCACAGACCACTTCGTTGTTATTTTCAGGACATTGTTCTCAGGAAGGTTTAGCTGCATCATCCTGCAACTTGTTTCTGCATAGAGGGAATATTTGCACTCATTTACCACCAAAAATTAAGGCATTCTGGTGCGGCTTGGTCCATTGTGTGAATGCCCGAAGTTTCCAAATGAACACAACGTCAACTTTTGCTGAATATGGTTGGTTTTCAAGTAGTGTACAGGAGTCTTCATGCAAGGGCACAAAAGTTCTTCAATCTCGGAAAATACTTACAATCCTTCGTCGATAATCAATCCAGGCAGAAACCTCAAGAGTACGAGTCGTAAGGTATATAGTGATTGACGTTGATACGAGCAACGCCTCAACCCGGAAGGGTTAGGCATCGTGCGACGTGGGCACGAGCAACGAAGAAGCGCCAAAAGACAACCACGACTGCATAGAGTACGAGCCTCAACATTCTGATGAGAAAAGCAAGTGATGTGGGTACGAGGCTAAGAGCCGCGCCGAAATGTAAAAAGGTTAGACATCGAGAGTCGTTGGTACGAGCCACGCCGAAACGGCAAGTCAGTCATGGCTGCCGAGAGTACGAGTCTCGACATGTCACTGAGAAAAGCGAGTGATGTAGGTATGAGTGACAATAAAACACTGTAGGACCAAAGGAGCGGCTGCTAAAGGAATGAGCCTCAACAAGCCGTACAGGAACGAATGCTATGGGTACGAGCCACACCGAAATGCGGACATATATACTCGAGATCTGGAGGTACTAAATCGCACGATACTAAAAGGTAAGTGATGCTGGTACGAACTGCTCCAGTACGCTGCAAAAAGTTGGTACTATAGGTATTAACACCACCTATGCCGTATGATTCGTAAGTGGATCTCGTGCCTATGCCTTGTTAACCTAGTGCATGTGAGTAATTTATGCTTTTAAAATACGTCCGCAATTACGGCAATGTCTTACAAGCCCACATCTGGCTATCTTAATTTGACTCGAAACTTTCACGTTTTACATCACCATTTTTTAGTCATATTATTTACTAATAGTAAAGTATGCTGAACAAAAGTTAACTCTTCTAATGCAGTCAAAACCTCTGAGATCAGTCAAAACATTATTCTGCGAAAAAGAAAAATTTTATACAAGATAAGTATTCCGTCACATGTTGACGTTGGTGCCTGACTGCTACCACAAAGTTTCGGCGTTGGTACTGTGAAAGGCAAATTCGTGTTCATTGCCTCAAAAATATGTTTCCTCACTTTCTTGCAAAGGTAGCAGCCATGCTTAAATTATGCATTAGGGGGAACGAAAAAAAATTGAACGACCATAAAATTTTGAGCTCACAGTTAAATTTATTATAAAAACTTGTTAACCAAATTGAGAATGATATTAAGCAAAGGAATTCCAAACACCCAAAAATTATAATGCATGTTCGAGAATAAATGCGGGGTTCAACCTAAACCAATTTGTATATTGATTTACTATTGGTGAACCAGATGTGTTGATGGGCGTTGAGCAGGTTACGGGTGATTAGTTGAGGGACGTGGAGAATGTTGCGACGGAAGAATGATTGGAACATAAAGGAAAATGAATTTTCCTAAAAATAAGGCATATAAGAGATATCGTTGGGAAAAAGTAAAGATATTGAATCTAACAGGAAGAGAGTTTTGTATCATTGGGGATTAGACTTAGCCCCAAGAAAGTTGCAAATCATTGCAATGATAAAAATGTACCGGGAAATTCAAATCTAATGGAACCAATTATTGATTTGGAGAAGGTTGATTATTTTTGTGAATAACGCATACAGTATATGTCACGCAGAAACTGTATTTTTACTTAATTTGTATTTCAAAGGTAATTGATGAGGAGCGAAATCACTCCATTCTACCTCGAAATAAAGGTACAATTTTATGAATAACTTAAATGAGGAAATACACACGGGGAAAGAAATCCAACGATAGCATTTGCGGCAAGTACATACCCCTTCTAATTTTGAAGACATAAAGCTTATGCACTAGGAGAGTATTGACTAAAGAGGATTTTCTCGTCCGCATGTGCCAGTATGTCGTTTAGAAGCCGTCGAGTTAAGTCTAATCGGTGGAAGAATGTGGGGCTTGATGGTAACGGCGAATTTAGAGAGGCTTTTGATGAAGCAGTCGGTAAAAGTGTCAGTGAAGCGTGGTGGTAACGGCGAATTTAGAGAGGCTTTTGATGAAGCAGTCGGTAAAACTGTTGCAACTCCAGCTGAGGAGATGAAACATTTACTCGATCAACGTAGAGTGCGGATGAAAAAATTATACTGGGAAAGCTGAAGAGATAACATGAAGAACCATCGACTACACATAATTATTAAGCGCATCGCGGCTCCTGCATAAGCACATCGCTTTCCAGAGCAAAAAAAAAATTTCACTGCAAACGCCCGCTCCCAGCTACTTTCCTATGAAGACGATATTAATTATTATTAAAATTAGCTCGATAATGATGTGAAAAGTAATTGCTTCTAATACTATCGGCTACTTTCCGTGTATAAGCACCGAAAGCTAAAATGGAGCTAATGTTCGTTATTTACAGGAGTTGATATTTACTTATTGCGAACTCCCTGTGAATAAACTATAAGGTGAACGATGTTTATGTTTTATCCTAGCTTGGTAACTTTACCAAAAATATTTATGTTGATATT